CTCTATGAAGTGGATTGATTCAGTGACTGGGATAATTGGGATGGGAGTGTCAGAGACAGTGCGATTGGCACAGGACAGAGCGGAGTTTAGGGCTGTTTTACATAGGGTCGCTATGAGTCGCAGGCGACTCGACGGCACATAACAACAACAACAACACAACTCTGGCTTGTTTTATTTTCATCAACATAGAAACAAATGAAAAGGAAAAGCAAATACCTTCACCATAAACAAAAAGCTTGATGTTGAAAGGTTGCTGAAAGAAATATTTTAAATAGTCATATTAAACATTTACTCTTAACTTTATAAATAAAAATACAACCTTTATTGCTGAAGAAAATGGAACCAAACTAGCAGTTTAAAGTCACTTTTGAATGAAAGACAGTTCTAACTGCAATTTCTGACAACAGTAGCCTACATCTTAGTAGGAGAAAACTATTATTTTCTAATTTTGTTAAAATTAAATATAGAAAACTCTGAAAGGACAGTGAAAAATGTTTAGGCTTGTAAATGGAGAGTGACTACAATGCTCAAATTCGAGTTAAGTCAGCTTGTCTGGCTAGTCATTCAGTTCCATCACTGTCATCCTGCTATTTTTACATAGTGAAACTCAGAAGGACTTTCCTATGTCTGAGATATCACAAGTACAAATAATGGCTTTTGGCTTCACATTGAGACTTAATGTACTCACAATCAGTCAAATGCTTTATCTCCATATTCTTCCTTTTCAATGCTTTTCTGGATCATCTTGATAAATAACTTAAATAACACTACAGAAATACATTTAAAATTATTTTCCATTATATGGGCTCTTTCTTAAAAAACTAGCAAGAGTGTGAAATGATAGACTTTTTTAGAATACAATTAAAAACTGTAAGTCTTTAAACCTCTGACCTTGGGAACTTATATTTTATGAAATAAGACTAAAACTGTAAGAACACTTGACATTATTTACTTTGAAAAAAACAGAATCAAGATGTTCAACAATGGGAAAACAGAGAAATATGTAGTCATTAAAACGGTATTTCTAATAAGTTAAAAATGCCAATATTATTTTATAAAAAACATACATAGGGCTCAAAACAAAGCAGAACACATAAAATATAATGAAATATACATAAACATTAATTATTAATAAGTCTTCTTTCTCTTTCCCCTCTCCCTTTATTTTTAGGGGAGGGCTGGTCTTTTTCAAATATCTTACAATGAGGAACTGAAAGTTCACTTTTAAACATTACTTGAATTTCTCTGTTCTTTGCTGTTAAATAATTGACGTATTACTTAATTTGGCAATAGGCTTATACCCCTGTATGTTCATAGGAATGTTTTACTATTTAATTAATTAAACGAGAGGGATTTTTTAAATTCCAAAATAAGAAGCAATAATGAGGAGAGGTGAAGAAGTAGGAAAGATTCAATGAGGACTTGATAAGACAGAGTGATAATGGCATAGATCAACAGTAATTTTTATATAAAATATAACATACATGAAATATTATATAAAACACAAGGTACATGAATGAGACACAATGTATATGAATAACTGTATATAAACCAATTAAAAAGTGTAAAGTAAAAAAAGAAGCAATGACGACAAGTCATACAGCAATCAGTCATTGTTGTGGATCTTCAAACGGGTTTTCAGAGGTTGTAATTCGCTTGAGAAGAGACTGCCCATCTGTTCACAGAGCAGGTGGTGGATCTGAACTGAATGTCTTTGGCTTGGCAGTGCAACTCCTTACCCTGTAGACTACCAGAATTCCCTAAATTAATAGCATATCCTTATATAATAGGACTGACATGAAAGTTGTGAAATTATTCTACAGGAACTCATACAAGCAGCATAATCTTCCTTAAATAAATAAAAGCAGCCATTAGCAATCTATTTTAGGAAAATATATTTTGGTATTAAATAATTCAATGCTATGTTTTAAGGGGGTACAGAAGGGTTGTAAATCTTAATCAAGTAAATTGGGGGGAAATTCCTTCTTTAATGTACCATCAAGGCACACTTTAGTGTTATTTTGGCTAGAGCAAGCATTTGGCCTCCACAGGAAACATTTGGAAAGCTGCTTTCCATGAAGTCGTGGAATATTTCCAGCATGTTACGCCAGCGTTCTGTCTGTTCTGCATTTTTTCCTCAATGAAATAGGACAATTAATAAACTCTGGGTACAGTACAAAGCCCAAGTTTCAGCAGCAGCAATATTATCTTTGGATCTAGATTGAGGGACATAAGTTATTCAAATACAGTTCAACTCTCAGAAAGCTGGCCATTTGGAATGTATTCTTATTATTTTTAAATTTCTTTTCCTTCTTGTGTTTTCCATCATTTTCCTCTCACTTTTTTTCTCCTTAACGTGTCCATGAAGGTCATTCTTTAATTGAGTGTTTACTATGCAATTTTATTGCCACTTCTGATCTTTCTTGATGTATATTTAGACATCAGTTTATAAACCATATATGGCATACTTTTGGGGCACTTGACATGGTATAAGAAAATAGGGGAGTATTTTACTTTCAACTAGAACAGAGGCTATGATAGTATCAGTATAGAGAAGGATCCCAATATGATATTTGTCTCTATGGTGAACAGTATTGTTGTTGTTGTTAAGTGCTGTAGAGTCGCAGGCGTCTCATAGTGATCCTATGAACGAAAGGACACTTCCTGTATAACTTCCATCCTTTCTCCAGGTTCATAGGGTTTCCAGAGGCAAGCTATTGTGGAAGTGGATGGGATGCCACCCCTGCTTCCAAACTTGTGTTAATAGGGGAGCTTCACCAAACACTGTACACCATGGGTAACAGTATTCGGCTTCACAGCAACCACGAGTTACATCTGTACAGCAAGTACATAGTGAACAACAGTGAACACTACTTAGATTCAAATCCTACAAATGCTACCCATCCCATAGAGATAACATGAAAAAAGTATAAAGACAAAACAGAAAGTAAACACTGCCAATTTTGAAAATGCAAACCACAGAAAACAAGTTATAGGAGAAAGGAGAGGGTAAATGAAAGAATCTGTTGTTGCTGAGTGTCACATAATTGATTTTGATCCATATTGTCCCACAAGGTTTTCTTGGTGATAATCTTTATAGATGTAGGAATAATTCTATAGATGTAGGAATAATTCTAATCCCTTAACATGGTGCCAGAATTCTCAGAACTCAGGAGAAAGTGAAGATTGGGCTAGTAGACTTTCATTTCATGTCCTTATTTCTAGCAGGAAAATAACAAGACCGACTATCTGTGAATCTGGAGTTCTTTTAGTTTACTTTCTGTCAAGAATAAGCTTCCATATTTCTGTAAGGATGAGGATATAGTAACATAATGGATGAGAAAGTGGATTCTGGAATTAGATGAGATGATTTAGTAACAATTGTGTAATCAAGAGCAAATTAATCTCTCAGAGTTTTGTAATCTCTAAAATGGATATAATAATATTTACCTCAAATGGTTATAGTGAGCTCTGGTGGCCTAGTGGGTATAGAACTATGCTGCCAACTCAAAGGTAAGTGGTTTGAATCCACCAGTTGCTGTGTGGGAGAAAGATGTGCAATCTCCTCTCCTGTGAGTTACAGGCTCTGAACAACCCACTGGAATCCAATACTGAGTTCGTTCCAATTCTGTGACAATGAGTTGAGTTGATGACTACTGTGAAATTAATACATGTAAACTAGTTAAAAGAACTATAAGCACACAGTAAACTCAATAAATGTTAACTCTAAAGAAAGGAAAACTACAGTTTAAAAGTGATATATGATTGGGTATTTTGGTTATGACAAGAGTCCAGAATGAAGGTTGCATAGTGGAGTGTACTCGGGGCGGGGTGGGGTTGTATACCATTGAAGGAATTTTTTTTTTGGGGGGGAGGGAGAAAAATGCAAAAATTAATAAATAGAAATCCAAAATCTCTGTAAATGTTCATTAAAATTAATAAAATTTAATAAAAATAAGAAATAAAAAATTAAATAAAAACAAATGCTTTAAACTTAAATTTTAAAAATAATGCCCCTATTTCAAAACAAAGTTCCTCATTTAGTAGTCTGCTGACTGCTGGTTCAGCCATTCCACAATCTTGTGATATTTCCATCTATGACTAAATTTTCCTATTCTAAGATGAAATAGAAGTTTTTGTTGTGAAATCTCACTGTCTTATCCTTTTCTCCCCCACTGTTCCTCTCCTACCAATGATGTGGAGCACATTATCATACCTTCATCTGTAACTCAGAATTAAGTCTGCCTTCCCAAGTTTATATGAAAGATATAGGTACACACATACCTGCACCTCAATCTAAGCCAAACCAAAGCAATCTGAAATATACACAATATAAGAATTTGTGTCCTCTCATTAACAGTATAAAAAACATATAACACGCATAATTTCCTACATATTCTCAAGTAGACATGGATGAGCATTTAAAGATCTCTTCAAACAATGGTCCCCCAAATGAAAGAAATTGTTATCTTTTTGCTTCATTGAACACTTCTATTGTTAATAAGGAGAAAACTTAAGAGGTAAAACACCACATGCCATTAAACTGGCATTAGAGCCCTCACAAAGCATCACTTTCGTGTCACCAAAATAGAAATTTTATGTGAGCCAGTAGTCACAATTTCAGTGGTAAACTCATTGGCATGTAAGATTTTGGTACATAAAACATGATTTTCAACCACCAGTTGCCACAGAGTAAATTTTGCTCCATAGAGTTTTCAAAAAGACACTCCCTGATGGGACAATGGCAAGCACTGTGACAGGAGAAGTTGTCAGTTGGAACCCATCAGCTGAGCAGTGGGACAAAGATGTTGCTGTGCTTCCATAAAGATTATGCCTTGGAAACACTACTGGGCAGTTCTATTCTGTTCCATAGTCGAATTGCCAGAATCAGCTCAAGGGCACATAACCATAGTGTTTTGTCTTAGTTTTTGTGTGATTATTTTTAAAAATATTACTGTGGTTTAAGTTTACAAAGTGTATTTTTAAATCAATCACACATGCACACATTGTTTCATAATAATACCTACCATATCTGATCAGCCATTCATTCTGTGTTGTCTTTACCCATCTTAAGTGTTGTTGCTGTTGTGTACCGCTGAGTCAGAATCAACTCTAGGTGACCCTTGAGCAGGTTTTCAGAGGCAATTTAATCACTTGGGAAGAGACTGCCTATCTTTCTCCCATGGAGCAACTGGCGGATTTGAACTGTGAGCCTTTGGGATTGCAGCACAGTTACTTAATTAATTTTCTATTCCCCTCCACTATTCTTTTCTGATAACCATACTAGAATGATTCTCTCTGTATGTAAACCTTTCTTTAGGTTTTTATCAAGGTTACTTTGTAGAATATTTGTCCTTTTGTGACTGTACTACTTCGCTCAGCATAATATCTTTTAGATGAATCTATTTTAGGTAGTGTTTCATTCATTCTTCGTTGTCTTTCATGTTGTGTAGTACTCCATTGTATGAATGCATCGTTTCTCTAGTCATTGATTGCTGGGCACTTGGGTTGTTTAATTTCTTTGCTATTGTGAACAATGCTGAAACGAACATGTGTGTAAAGATATCTGTTTGCGACACAGGTTTTATTTCCTGTGGAAAAGCTGAATCTAAATATATTTTTTATATTCAGCTTTTTAAGGAAATGCCATACTGCTTTCTATACACACCGCACCACTTTATATTCCTACCAGAAAAGTCCAGTTGCAATCTCTTAACACCCTCACCAGCATTTTTTGTTTATAGTCTTACTGAACTTCATTTGTTACTGTTGCTAAGGTGAGATGGTGTCTCCTTGTTTTAATTTGCATCTCTTTAACAGTTAAGGAGCTCTGTTGGCCTAAAGGATAAGAATTTGGCAACCCAAAAGGAAGTTCTTTGGATTTATCCAGCTGCTCTGAAAAGGTGAAAAGGTGGATAATCTCAGGTGCTGTTTACAGCCTCTTAAACTTGCTGGAGGGCCAGCTAGGAGATTCCCACATGTTGGAATGCTGAACCCTCTTGGTGAGTGTAATCCTGTTTGCTTTGGTGGTGTATCAAGTTACACTAACCAAAAGGCTTAGTTTCAAAAGACAGTTCAAATCTACCAGTGGTCCAAAGGAGAACCACTTCCTTGAGAAAACCAATGCCTCTGAAACTCAATGAAAGGTGACTATGAGTAGGAACCAACTGGACTGCAGTGGGATATTTGAGACTTCTTTCCAAATAGGGTTTTGTTATGATAATAAGGTCATATCAGTGACAGGTGTGTTTTAAAAATAATCACTACTGAATGATAAGAAGAACAGACAAGACACAAAGATATGCACAAAGCAGGTGTCAGATAAGGGGAAAGGCAGATACCACATGGTGATCCCCAAGGTCTATAAAAGCTGAGACAAATAACTTTCTTTAGAACTAGCAGAAGGTCCTCTCCTATAATCAGTGTCCTTATATCACACTTCTAGTCTCCCACACTGTTAGAACATAAGTTTTTGTTCTTTAAAGCCAGCCATTTGTATTCCTCCTATACTAAACACTTTGACACAATGAATTAGCCATTTCCTGGAGGCATGGACCAAGTTTTGACTTTTAAAAATCATCCTTTCCTGGATAAAATAATACAAAAGATGTGCTGGTATATCTTTACATTGTTCCTCATTTTTCTTGCATTTCATAGATAATTCATTTTTCTACAAATTGAAGATTTGTGGCAACCTTGTATTAAGTCTTATCAGTGGCACTTTTTTCCTAACAGCTAGTACTCAATTCGGGTTTCTGTGCCTTATTTTGGCAACTCTCATAATATTCAAACTTTTTCATAATTCTGTTGCACACTGTGAATAGATTGCAGTATGGTTTTGACATACATTTTACACGTACAGGCAAACATATTTTTGTGAAACTATTTCTTTTAATCATCCATTCATTGCTACTGGAGCTGACTCATAGCGGACCCTCCTCTGGTTTTCAGAGGCTATAAATTGCACAGGAAGAGAACGCCCATCTTCCTGCAGAGGAACAAATGGTGTAGTAAAACTGCTATCTGCCTTTGAGTTGGCAGCTGTGGCCTAGCAAATAAGGAGCTGCATTGACCTCCACTATTTGCTCTGTGGGAGAAAGATCATTTCCTCCCATGCAAATTACAGCCTCTCAAAATCCTCTGGAGGGTCAGCTGTAAGTCAGTTGTGACTTGATTGCAGTAAATTTTTTTATATTTATGGTAATACCTTCTTTATCACGATTGTCTGGAACATAACCTGTAATAACACCTTCATGATATGCCTGAACTAAAATTTCTCCACCTTATAGACTAGCACCAATATAAGAATAGCACAAAAAATGCTAAAATCTCAAGAATAATTTAACTAGCAAGTATACATTACCATCATTCAGAGTCCATCTTTTTGCCTCTCAATGTACTGTGAAAATGAAAAATAGTATGTGATCATAAAATTTAAAAGAATAACAAACTCACCTAAATCCAAGGATACCTGTATTAGCCATAACAAAAGCTAAGCCAAGGATACCACTTCCCATGATAGCATTCATCAAATTAAACACTGAGAAGCCAAATGAGGAGCCCTGTCTGTGACGTTCCTGTAAGCACATAAATTTACTGTGTTAAATGTTTATATAGAAAACTTGGACTCGGCATTGAAAAATGATGAAGAAAATCTCTTGTAAATTGCCAGACAGTGTTATACAGCAGTTGCTCATCCAGCACTGATTTCCTTTCTACCTGCAGGAGTATAATGCAACTCCAGGAGTACAGTGTTAACGAAAAAAATAATATTCCCTACTATAGAGGCCAGGTAGCCTTAAGGAAGAGCCATGGCTAACCTTGTGACTGCAGGAGATAAAGACAGGACAGAAATGTGTTGCTTCAGGAATGAAATCTAGAGGTGGAGAATTCTTGACTCAGATTGGGACTGCTGGAATAAACTGGTACTCCCAAACTACTGGGATCACAAAACTAACCATTATTGATAGACTTACTGAATTGCGTTCAACCAGCTAGAACCATAGCTGCGAACATAAAACAGATAGGAATAACTCACATTGCACTGGCAGAACACCTCTGACAACACTCTTTCTCAAAAGAACATTTGGGATCAAAGTCCTAGAAACTGTCACTGTTGAAGAACTTGAGTTTAAAAGCTGAGTGCTGAGTGCCGACTGCACATTTTTGAATCAGGTCGAACAAGGTATGGCCCTATCGGCAGATCACTTTTATCCTTCAGTATTAATCTGTCAAAATTAAGACGTCGATAGTCCCTCCTTGACAAAGGTGGAGACCAAGTCTTGTGATTATTTTTTTTTTTTTAAAGAACTTACAGTACTGGGGGTGGAAATGGGAAGCTGAGAAAGATGCTAACGAACAGCAATGATTCACTTATCCCCAGGGCCACTCATCCAGTCGGGTCCCGGGTCTTCACCGAGGGTTGCAACTCCTATACCTAAGCCTATAGTTTTAATTCAGCTTCTCTCTGTAGAGCATGATGGGTTTCAAATCACTTTCATGAACTCCACCGTATCTCATCTGAATCTCTGTTAGATCTCATTCCCTTGTTCTGGCAACGGGAAGGATGTGGTTCCCCTTAAGCCTCCCACCATTTCTCCGCCTTATTTCAGCAGCCACTACAGGGAACTGGCGAAGCCTTCAGAGCTCAGAGGGAGCGAAGCCCACTTACGTTGCTTAGCAACGGGCTCGACTCTTCCGCCTCCTCCTCTTCAGGCTGCTGGGCAGAGATATACCAGCCTCGCTCGGCGTCGATGTTCCCCCAGGGTGCCTCCATGCTCTTAGCTTGCCGACAGTCCGGTCCATCTGCAAGACACGACCCTAGGTCCCCCGTCACTAGCAGCGCCAGAGGCGGAGCTACATTCCCGACCCTTCCGGGATCCCGTATCTACAGAAAAAGGGGCGGTGCGATTTGACAACACACCCTCAAGGGCGAACAATGATGATGTCACCGGGTTCCCGCCCATCTACCAACGACCTAGTTCCGGGCGGCGCGGGAGCATGAGGTGAGGGCTTTAGTTAGTGTGCCAACTGCGGGGCGACCCCGAGAGTTGGGGTGATGCATTTGACAAGAAGGCGGCCAAGCTTGAAGGGATTGATGGTCGGTGGTGGGGCGAGTTCGCCTGGGATGACTCTTCACTTCGCACCGCTTGGCAGGGAAACGTCACAAAGTCATCCACCTGCCAGGTTCTGCATTTGTGTCCGGAAACTAAGCAAGTTTCCGCCCCCCCCCCCCATCTTTTTAAAATTTCTTTACTTCAAAACAACTATGAGATATCATCTCACCCCAGTCAGAATAGCAAAATTTAACAGAACAGCAGCAACAAATGCTGGCGAGGTTGTGGAGAAACTGGAACCCTTATTCACTGTTGGTGGGAATGTAAAATGGTGCAACCACTGTGGGAGGCGGTATGGCGCTTTCTCAGAAAGTTGCAAATACAGATACTTTTTGACCCAGCAATTCCACTACTGGGAATATATCCCAAAGAGACCATAACTGACATCCAAGCAGATATATGCACACCCATGTTTATCACGGCTTTGTTCACAATAGCAAGGATTTGGAAACCACCCAGGTGCCCATCAACAAATGAATGGATAGAGAAGCTGTGGTATATTCACACAATGGAATACTATGCTGCATTGAAAAACAAGGAACTCATTCAATATTATTTAAAATGGGTGAGCCTGGAGGACATTATGCTGAGTGAAATATCTCAGTTGCAAAAGGATAAATATTGCATGGTGCCACTGTTGTAAAATGGGACTGATATCAGGGTTGGGGTAAGACTGAGAAAAACTGGATAACTTGTGTATACTGCACTGAAACAGATGAGGGAGTGAACAATTTAAAAGTGATGTATGATAGGGTATTATGGTTATCACAAGAGTCCACAATTAAGGTTGCATAGTGTAATGTACTTGGGGCGGTGGGAGGGGTGCGGGGCGATTGTGTACCAGGGAGGGAGTCTTTCTTTTACTTTTGAAAAGAGAGGAGCGAACTGGGGGGCAGGTAGAGAAGTGCAGCAGTGAATGAATGGAAATCCAAATTCTCTGTAAATGTTCATTAAAATTATTAAAGAAAAAAAACAACCAACAACAACAAAAAAATCTCTTTGCTGTAGATGTTGTTGAGTACCATCAAGTCGGAACCGACTCATAGCTGACCCTGCCCCGGGTTTTCAGAGGAAGTTAATCACACGGGAGGAGATTGTGGATTCGAACCTCATGCCTTCGGGATTGTAGCGCATCTTCTTGCCACTAGACCACCAAAGTTCCCTTCTTTGAGATTCTAGAATGCTGAGTGTCTGATATGGTTAATGGGATTGTTGTTGTTTGCCCTGAGTCCCTTGCAATTCATAGAGACCCTATGTGTAACAGCTCTGAAACCTGCCCTCTCCTGAGTCAACCTTATCATCTCTGACACACCTCCTCCCATTATCCTGGTCACTGAGTTAATCCATCTCAACCAGGGTCTTAGGCATATAATCATCAGGCAGTTCTTGTCAACATAGGTCTACAGGAAAACACAAAAGTCTGCCACACCTTGCTTTTCGCACTTGCCTAGTCATCCTTTACTAGCAAGTAGACTCTGAGTGGGTTATCGATCTGATAAGACACATCTCCTAAAATTAAGAACGTCCATAAAATAGCACAGCATCTCATACTTTAAATGCTCAAAGAAGTATTCTAATGGATATTGCTTGCCGTTGGAAAAGTCATCAATGTAATGATCAGTTCATTTAGAGATGATCCTTTAGCTCAAATTTTAGCCTTCTAATTTCAGAGTTATTACATAAGAAATTGTGGGTGGAGATACTGAGTATAGGGAGGCAAAGAAAGAAATCACTAACATTCTCCTGGTAGCAAGTGGGTTGAAGACAAAAATTTATCATTGCTAATAAAAGTCATCCTATAATGGAAAATACTCCCACACACTTGTAAGAGTATTATTATCTGCACTTAACAGATTATTTGAAACAATAGAATTTATATTTTTATTCTCAGAAGCCTTTTGTGAGCATGTAAGTTTGTAGCTTTAGGATATTTCTTTTAAAATTAATGTCCTTTTTTTTTTAGGATCTTATGGAGGCCATTTGAATTTTCAAGAAGATTTGTGAAAGTGGAAAGCTGTAACATATCTGAATCCAAGTCACTGATTCTACTGTCTTGGGCAATACTGAAACAGAAGCTTAGAACCTCTGAAGTTTTCTTTTTGGGTCAAAGAAAAAAATTCTCAACCATGCCAGAATCCGAAATAAACCAGGGAGATTCTGAGTTGTTTTCACCACCCTCTGATGTTCGAGGAATGACAAAACTTGATAGAACTGCTTTTACAAAGACGATCACCATCCCAGTACTTAAAGTGAGAAAAGAAATAGTCAATAAATTGATGCGATCTCTTAAAAGAGCAGCATTGCAGCGCCCAGGCATAAAGCGTGTGATTGAAGATCCAGAAGACAAAGACAGTAGACTAATTATGTTGGATCCCTATAAAATAGTTTCTCCAGATTCCTTTGACACAACAGAACTCAATATTTTAAAGCAGCTTAATGTCAATCCTCAGATATCTAAATATAACTTGGAATTGACATATGAAAACTTTAAGTCAGAAGAGATCTTGAGAGCTGTGCTTCCCGGAGGCCAGGATGTAACGTCAGGGTTTAGCAGAGTGGGACATATTGCCCACCTGAACCTTCGAGATCACCAGCTACCTTTCAAGCATTTAATTGGTATGTGTGAATTGTTGTTGTTATATGCCGATGAGTGATAGCAACCCTATGTACGAAAGATCTGAACCCTCTCCTGTCCTGTGCCATTCTTATCATCTCTGACATACTCAAGGCCATTTTGTGGCTGTTACTGTGCCGGTCCCATCTCATTGAGGGTCTTTATTTGCTGAGCTTTCACCTTTTCAAGCACTCTGTCCCTTTCCAATGAATATCCCCTCCTAACAACATGCCCAAAATATATGAGACAAAGCTTTGCCATTCTTGCCTCCAAGGAGTACTCTGGCTGCACTTTTTCCGAGACATAGCTGTTCTTTCTTTTGGCAGACCATGGGGTAGTCAGTACTCTTCTCCAAACCCACAACTGATCAAGTTGTTGATTTTGTTGTTACTTGCCATCGAGCTAGAATCGACTCACAGGTGAGTCTCCAGTGGGTTTGCAGAGGCTGTGATTTGCATGGGAGGAGATTGTTCATCATTTTTCTTTGTAGCAGCCAGTGGATTCAAACTATGTGTCTTTGGATTGGCAGCACAGCTCCTTACCACTTGGCTTTTTCTGAGCTCCCTAATGATCAAGTATGATGAAGCATTTATAGCAAATATTAATTTTAGTTTAAAAAAATACTTTTACAAATAGAAAATTACAGAAACAAGCTATGCCCTATTCAGAGTCACAACTCGTTGACAAGAAGTAACGTCATTGTAACTCATGTATGTCAGAGTATAACTGGGCATCAGGGTGGGTTTGGTAGCAGATATTTCTGAAGAAAATCTCCAGGTCTTTATTCCAATGTTCCTCTGGATAGACTCCCACTATCAACCTTTTAATTAGAAGCTCAAACATTAACAGTTAACACTATCCAAGGAACTTGCCCCAGGGTTTTCAGAAAGAATACTGTCATGAGTAGATTATAACTCAGAAACCTTGTACTACAGACAGGACTTGCCCCACATGGAAGTAGCCTGCCATATCTTCTTTGACTGACCTCCTAGCAAGAGCACTCACATCTTCCCACTGTGATTTCTTTTCCAGAGTCATAAACCGTACCAAACCCATTGCTGTCAAGTTTAGTCCGGCTATCAGTAATCCTGTGGCACAGAGTAGAACTGTCTCATAAGGTTTCTACGATTGTGCTAGTGGTAAAAAGTTTAAAGAATTTGCGTGCTAACCACAAGAGGACCTCTTTGAACCTACCAGCTGTTACACAGGGAAATTACGAAGCAGTCAGTTCCGTCCTGCAGGGTCACTGTGAATCGTAATCAAGTTGATGGCACTAGTATTTATTGATTTGGGCTTAGCTCTTTATGGACACCGACTGCCATATCTTTCTCCTTCAGGGCAGCTGGTGGGTTCAGAGCTCCACTCTTGATTATCACTCAAGTGCTTTAACCATAGTGCCACCAACACCTTTTCCAGACTCATCAGCCCCACTGTCATGGACTCAGTTCTGACCTGAACTGCCCCATAGTTTCCAGAGCTGTAAATCTTTGCAGAAATCGACTGCTTAACCTTTCTCTGGACAACTGGTGAGTTAAACTGCCAGCCTATTGTGGAGAACCTGAATTCTAAGTCACAGCACTACCACTGCTCCTTACCCAGAGCCCATACCCATTGCCAGTGAGCTGTGATTCCAGCTCCTTCTGACCCTCCATTTGCTTTCTTCGGCTGTAAATCTTTATGAGAGGAGTTTGCCCATCTTTCTTCAAAGAAGCAGCTGGTGCATCTGAAACCTGACCTTTTGGTTAGCAGCCTGATAATGGTACACTCTAGCCACTAGCGTCCATTGCAGACTCTAAATAAATGTCAGCCCAGGCTTTTGTTTAACTGATTCATTGCTGTGGAGTCCAAACTGATTTGTAGTTGACCCTCCACTGGTTTTTCAGAGATGAAATCACACAGGAGATTGCCCATCTTTTCCCCTGAGAGATGCTGGTGTATTCAAACTGGCTTTTATTTACACCAATATAAAAGCAGATTAAATTTTGACAGAACTTTGATAACTACATTGATCAGAATACATTTTTGATGAACAAAACGTATTAGCTAGTTAAGACTTGAGTCCTGGGTTTCCTAAATTTGAGTGTTGTGAATGACATAATTTACTCATGCTTTTATGAGTTGTGTTTGTTGTTTTTTTTAACACAGCCTCTTCTTTTTTTTTCCCCTATAATTATATTTTATTAATTTTCATAAACATTTACAGAGATTTTGGGTTTCCATTCATTCATTGTTGCACTATAGTCTCTTCTTTGTATCAGGTGCTATGCTTTTCTGCTTTGATGTTCCAGATCTTTTAGAACCTATGTTTTGTTGACCCTGGCTTCCTTAGTCTTTGGGTTAAGAAGGAAGTAGAAAATAAACCAGAAATAGTCCTTGTACCTGTATAATTATTTGCTGTCCATGCAGCTCAATTATTTTGTGTGTGTATATATATATATTTAGTGAGGAACATCTGTTAGAATTTGTGGGAATCATTTTCAACTTTAAAATGGTGCTGCTCAGTATTTTGCATTGGTAAATTTCAGAGCTGCTTTTATGCATTTCCTTTGCTTTTATAAAAGTACAGATAAAGCACAGTGGTAGCATAATAAATACTTAAGTAGATCCTTATCATAGTTCACTCATTCACTCCCTCAGCTCTGACTCATAGCTTAACCCTCCACCTGGTTTCTTATGCAGTAAATGCCATGGGAGGGGACTGCCCCTCTCACCCTCAAAGTTACTGGCGGACTCAAATTGCCAGAGGGGTGTGGCCTTTGAGTTATCAGCATGATTGCCCCTCTATGAGAAAAGAAACTCTGTAATAGGAAAACCAAAGATGTGTCTGAGTTAGAGCAGGCAGTGACTCAGAAAGCCTGGAGTTGACATTTGTGTCCAGGAACAGTGTGATCTGTAGGGAGTTGTGCTGCTAATACAAAAGCCAGGTGCCTCATTTGCAGTTCAAATCCACCAGGGCCTCCTAGGGATTTACAGCCTCAGAAACCCAAGGCGGAGGCTGCTGTGAGTTGGTTTTAACTCATTTGGCAATGAGGGAGAGGGAGTGACACAGTATTAAAGTGGCTAATTCAAAATAAAGACCCTTATACAGTATTAATTTTAAAGCTTTTCTCTAAGACCTTCGGAGTAAGCTTTTTAAACACTTTTGTAACTTCAGGATTGCGTTCTGATACTTGAAGCAGAAGACTCTAAGAGCAATGATTAATTCATTCACTCACTCATCAAGTCAGACCTGACTCATAACTGACCCTCCCGTCGGGTTATTAGAGGCTGTAAATAACACAGGAGGAGATGGTGCACCTTTCTCCCGTAGAGCCCCCGGTAGATTTGAACCATCAGAGAGGTGCCATTTTTGCTTTAGCAGTGCAACTCCCTACAGACTGTGCCATTAGAGAATATGTTAATAATACTCAGAATCAGCGTTTTGTGCTGTGTTGTGTACAAGGACAGAACATAGCATATGCAGTCTTACAAATATTTTTCAAGTGTTACTAAAAATGTACTTTGTTTGATTTAAGGTTACAAATATACTATTTCTGGTACTTAGCATTTTATTATCTTTGTGACTTTTTTGCTCTGGCAAGTATTTGACAAGAAGAATTTAGGTAAATAGAGTTTTATTTAGCTAAAACTGAAAAATCTACATATTTGCTTTATTTGGAAACTTTGTTTTGCTGGCCTTTATTCCCAAAGTGTATGCATTTGTTTCAAGCACACAGTAAAACAAACATTTGGTCTGAGGCCAGTGGGAACAAGCAGATGTTTTGCTAGTGTTTTCTGAGACCATTTGTTGCTAATGTGCTTACATCTGTTTCCGTAATTTCCCAGTATCTTATTTATTGTCTACCTTATTTTTGTCTACTTGTGCTGTCATATTTGAGATTTAATACAAGCATAGACACAAATGTGACTCAAATCCTTCTAAATACTTTCTCTGGAAAATGTTTCCATTACGTACTCTTATGTATGTATTCATTTTGAGTGTATGTGAAGCTGTAGACACTAGTAATCTGCTGAATTTCTAGACTTAAGTGCTGTTTAATAAATCCTAGCTATCTAGCTTTATCTTTTAACAAAGGAAATAGAATTTTTTCAGTTTTATATTTGCCATTTTAATTTTTGCAGTAAATTGGGAGTATTTATTTTAAATGTTTATCATTTGTTTTAGGTCAAGTTATGATAGACAAAAATCCAGGAATCACTTCAGCAGTTAATAAAATCAATAATATTGATAATACTTATAGAAATTTCCAAATGGAAGTACTATCTGGAGAGGAGAACATGCTGACCAAGGTATATATATTTTTGTTATCTCTTACTGTTTATCAAGATTAATTTAGAATCAGAATAGATGATACAAGATTAAAAATATTTTAGCACACAGTGATGAATATGTGAGATTGTGTATATACAGTACACAAATAAGACTGCAAATTCAGTATTACCTTTGAAAACAATGTTGCCATTTTAAATAGGTACATCTTTTACATATGGTTCCATTTGAAGGAATTTATCCTAAGGATATTGTTGGGAAAATTATTTGTTTCAGGGCTTTCACTTTTCTCATTTTTGACTTCCAATAAATTTGAGAATGCTAGATATAAGAATTTTTTTTAAAAAAACCCCAAATCTCTTAACTGTATGTCTGTCATCTTAGACAACAGTGTATATGTAGTATGTGAACTTTTGTGCCTAAACTAAGAAATATATTATTCTTTCATTTGACAAAATGTTTAATAACTAAGATTACTCTTTAAAATGTTAGAAATGTCATTTAAATAAATTTTATAAAATCTGGGAATGAGTTTATGAAAAAGAATTAGCTTTTAGGTTTTTGGATCACATAGGCTTGGTGAGTATTTTTCAAAATTTCATAAGAAGCCCTTAAACTATGATGATTATTTTTAATGCAGATGAAATAACAAGGAATAATTGAGTAGGGTGCTTGGTGTCAGACCTCAGACGCCAGAGCCCATGTGTATGTAGTCTTTTCCCCTGCCTACTGCTTGTGAATAATGTTTGAGTCTGTCATGACAAGTAAGATTTGAATTAGAATCATTTGATAATAACAGTCCATATTTCAGCTTACACCAAGTTATATACATTAGTTGTTGTTAGATGCTGTCAAGTTGTGTACAACTAATAGCAACCCTGTGAACACAAGATCTGAACCCGATCCTATCCTGTGCCATCCTGACACTTCCTGACAAACAAGAGCCTATTACAGCAGTCACTGTGTCAGTCCACCTGGTTGAAGTTCTTTATCTCCTTTGCTGACCCTCCACCCTTCCCAACATCATTTCCCTCACCAAGGAATAGTTCCTCCTAGCAACATGTCCAAAGTATGTGAGGCAAAGCCTCCAAAGAATACTCTGGCCGCACCCTCTCCAAGACACATCTGTTCGTTCTCTTGGCCGTCCATGGGATGTTCAGTGCTCTTCACGTTCACACACATTCAAATTCTTCATTATATGTGAGTTCTACATTGGCAAATTTGCTTACTTCCTAAAATTTATTTGTAATATCAAAATCATTACTCAGAATGCTTTCATAGTCATTTGGACATGCATAGAATGTGAGAGAATTGGAATTGTCCAGTGAGCTCTGATTCTGTATTCATTAATTGTCCACAGGGATTTTATTGAACATAACTTCCATTAGTAATAATGAGACTCCACTAAACATTGTATGCATGTTTTACTCAGTACTGACTGTTAAGGATAAAAGGTAACATTCTTCTCACAGAAAGGATATGAAAGCTCTGAGAAGTACCTGTAGTTTAGTGAGTGTTTATGATTGTTTTCACAAGACAACTAAAGTTCATTTTTAAGACATACTTTTCTTTTTGTATTTAATCTGTAAAACAAAGAAAAAAGATCCAATTCATATAACTGCCCTGCTTCAGATAAAATCACAGTGAAGCTTGACTTGAGGAACTCACACACAATACTGTGACAGGTACGGTAAAAGCTGTGAGAGACAGAACTCAATGGTACTGCCTTATTTTTCTGGATCTCACAGTTTTGTAACTTTGACAGTTATAATAGGGTAGCCAGGATAAGGGCATCAGCATAGACCGCCCCTAACTTGACAAGGAAGAAGAGTCACCATCTACAACATGAGCAACACAAGCTGGTTCCTATGAGCTCATATAGCCACTGTGCTCCTGTGCCTGTGTGTAGTTCTTGGTCTTCCCCACGTTCTCCCTGCTCTGGCTGCTGCTTGTTATTGTTGAGTACTGTTGAGTTGGAACTGATCCACAGCTGACCCTCTGGCAGGTTTTCAGAGACAGAAAATCACGCAGGAGGAGATTGCCCATCTTTCTCCTGCAGAGCAGTTGATGTGTTTGAACTGTGTGCCTTTGGAATTGCAGTGCAGCTTCTTACCACTAGGCCAAAAGAGCCCTGTTGCAATGAACTGTTAAACAGAACTAATAGGCAGTACTCAGGGAACTAACAGGTTACTGTTCAGGTTGGTAACAAGATACAGTTATTTAGTTAACACAGCTTGTCAAATGTGCTCTCTCAGGCCTTCTGACTTTCAGCCTTATGGCTTTGGGCCAGTGTTACAAAGCTTTTTTCTTCCTGCCAGTTATAGCATCTCCCTCCAGCCCTCCAAGGTGCTTTGTCGAAGACCCTCAGCTCTGGTTCCTGCTCAGTGTGGTCCCACATCAGTCAATGGTACTCTGCCACCTCTGCTGCTGCTGGTCTCGATCATCATCTTAGATGGAATTCTTATGTCCGAAAGGACACACTGCATTCTTCACTTCTTGTTTCTTGATAGTAATGAGAATCCCACTTTCTGCCTCTGAACCTACTTACTTTAAGCCTAGGAAAAAGGCACAGTTGACCAATCCCTTCATTAGTAGTCTATACACCTTATTTTTGTGTTCTTATCTGAAAGGTGCAAATTTACCTCATTCACGTTGTTGTTGTTGTTGTTGTTATGTGCCGTCGAGTCATTTGCAACTCACAGCGACCCTATGTACAACAGCCCTAAACCCTGCTCTATCCTCTGCCAATAGCACCACCTCTGACACGCCCATCCCGATTACCGCAGTCACCGAATCAATCCATCTCATAGAGGGTCTTCCCCTCCTGCACCGTCCCTCCACCCTCCCAAGCATGATGTCCCTCTCCAAGGACCTGTGCCTCCTTGCAATATGCCCAAAGTATGTCAGACGAAGCCCCAGAATCCTTGCCTCCAAGGAGTTGCTTGGTTTAATCCTCTCCAGGATGAATCTGTTTATTTTCTTGGCAGTCCATGGTACATTCAATACTCTTCTCCAGCACCACAGCTCAAAGGCATCAATTCTCCTTCTGTCCTCCCTAGTCATTGTCCAACTCTCTGATGCATAACAAGTGATTGCAAAGACCATGGTCTGTGTCAGGCAGGCACACTTTAGTCTCCAGAGAGACACTGTTGCTCTTGAGTACTTTAGAGAGGTCCCTAACAGCAGACTTTCCCATCGCAATACATCTTTTCATTTCTTGGCTGCTGGTGCCGAGTGTTGACCATGGAGCCGAGTAAACTGATGCTGTGAACAATCTCAATCTCTTCACCATCCATCCAGATGCTGCCAATTGGTCCAGTGGTGAGAATCTTTGTCTTCTTGACATTGAGCCTCAGTCCATACTGAAGGCTGCAGTCCTTGACCCTCTGCAGAAAGTGCATGAGGTCCTCCTCAGTTTCAGAAAGCAGGGTTGTATCATCTGCATAAGGCAGATTATTAATAGATCTTCCACCAATCCTGATGCCACAATTCTCCTCATAGAGCCCAGTCTCCGGGATAATCTGCTCTGCATACAGGTTGAAGAGGTATGGAGACAGGACACATCCCTGGCGTACACCATTCCCAATTTTGAACCATGCAGTATTACCCTGCTCTGTTCTGACAGTTGTCTCTTGGTCCAAGTATAGGTTTCGCATTAGCACAATTAAATGTTCTGGGATTCCCATTCTTCTCAGAGTCAGCCACAGTTTGTTATGATCTACACAGTCAAACGCCTTTGCATAATCAATGAAACACAGACATTTCTTCTGGTATTCCCTGCTTTCAGCTAAGATCCATCTAATATCAGCTACAATATCCCTAGTACCATGACCCCATCTAAACCCAGCCTGGACTTCTGGCAGTTCTCTGCTGATGTGTTGTTCCAGTCGGTTTTGGATAATCTTCAGTAGAATCTTGCTTGCATGTGAAATCAATGATATTGTTCTATAGTTTCCACACTCTGTTGGGTTACCCTTCTTTGGAATGAGAGCAAATATAGATCTCTTCGAGTCAGTTGGCCAAGTGGTTGTTCTCCAGATTTCTTGGCACAACTTGGTGAGCACATCCAGGGCAGCATCTGTTAGCTGTACTACGTCAATTGGTATACCATCTATTCCTGGGGCCTTATATTTTGCTATTTCCTTCAAAGCAGCTTCAACTTCTTCCTTCATCACCAAAGGTGAATAATCATTCACATGATTAGCCATGTAATGAACATCAAATACAATGTCTAGAACAGAGAGATGGAATAATTGACTATAGCAAAAGGATATAATCTTACTACTTAGGCAATCTATTACTTGTTTTAGTGGAAAGTATTTGTTTCCTCTCTGACAGGTTTTCACCTACATGGCTTCTTTCACAGGTTTTATTATATGTACTGTCTAGATTCCTAGAACTTAAAAACTCTTGCCTTTTATTTCTTCATCCATAAAATGAGGGCCTTAAAATGATAGCTGAAAAGTCATTATTGTTAAGGTGTCGAGTTGAGTAAGAACCTTTGAACAGCAGATCTGAACCCTGTCCTATCCTGTGCCATTCTCACACTTCCTAACACATTAGAGCCCATTGGAGTAGTTAAGTGTGTAATCCCCCTAGTTAAGGGTCTTTCTCTCCTTTGCTGACCTTCCACCCTTCCCAGCACCACGTCCCTCCTAAAGAATAGCCCCTCCGAGCAGCATGCCCGAAGTATGTGAGGCAAAGCCTCATCATCCTTGCTTTCAAAGAACACTCTGGTTGTAACCTCTCCAAAAGAACAAACATTACATGAGAATATTATAGCAAATATGTAAAGTCATAGTCCATGACTATAATTTCAGTTTTTTATCATGTATATTATAATTAGGATCCCTGCTGGAACAGTGTTTAAAGCATTTGGCTGCTAACCAAAAGGTTAGTGGTTTGAACCCACCAGCCTTTCTGTGGGAGAAAGATGAGGCTGTTTTCTTCTGTAAATATTTACAGCCTTGCTAACCCAGTGAGGCAGTTCTACTCGTTTTTAAATCAGAATTGGCTTGATGAACATGGATGTGGTGATAGGTTATAAGGTAATCCCAAAAGAAAATTTCTTTTTTTTCAAGACTTAGCTTCATTGTAGATATTTAGCTTACTCTTGAAAAGTGAAATTTAGAAGAGGAAACAGAAATGGTAATTATTTTTTCATCCTATACACTGGCTCTAATTTTTAGAAATAAAACTTAAGTCCAAGTCAAAAAACAGCACAGATACTTTGATATTCAGTGACATGATATATCTGTTGTGGATCTATCTCTCTTATAAATTGAAAACCAAAATAAGAGGGAAAATGTGTTTACTCTATACATGTGCTGTCCACAACGTGGACGTAAGTGTGTTATGTCCAGGGAAAGGTTTTCTTTCCCTCCTCTACCTAGTGACACAAGAGATTATTAAACCTTTCATTTAGCATTATCTGAAATATTACTAATGTTATTTAGGAACTATTGTACAGCCAAGGGAGCTCTGGTGGCCTAGTGGATAAGGAGTTGTGCTTCTAACACGAAGGCCAGCCGACTGAATACCCTGTCTGCTTCTGGGGAGAAAGATGGAAGTCTCCTTCCATGCAATTTACATCCTCTGAAAACCTGCTGGAAGATCAGTTCTAAATTGATTCTGACTTCATAGAAATAACTGACTCCTTTTGATTACTTAGAACTCTTTGACAGAGAGAGCCACTGACTTTGAGGAGATCACTTTTCTCAGCAGTCTAATGCAAGACATTAACTGGTATTTACCTATAGTGTAAATAACCAGGATTACAGTTAAAGTGACTTTAAATGCACTGTTACTTACACTTACTAGTAAATGTGTGTGTGTGTGTGTGTGTGTGTGTGTGTGTGTGTGTGTGTAAACCAGGTTAACTGTTTTTTAATTAATTCCAATTCATGACAACTCCATATGTGTGCCAGAGTAGAACTGTGCTCTATAGGTTTTCCATGACTAATAGTTTTGAAAGTAGATAGAGCTGCTTCTGAGTAGATTTGAACTTTTGCAACCTTTTTGTCAGCAGCCAAGCACAGTATCGGTCCCTCTTACGTACATATGTATATTTTAAAGTCAGTATCGTGACTGGCATTTAAGACTAACCTCATTAATCACAACCATGATTCTTTTTTTCAGGTGCGAGAAAACAACCATAGCTATGAATTTGATTTTGCAAAAGTCTATTGGAATCCTCGTCTCTCTACAGAACACAGCCGTATCACAGAACTTCTCAAACCTGGAGATGTTCTGTTTGATGTTTTTGCTGGAGTTGGGCCCTTTGTCATACCAGTAGCAAAGAAAAATTGTACCGTATTTGCCAATGATCTCAACCCTGAATCCCATAAATGGCTGTTGCACAACTGTAAATTAAATAAAGTAGACCAAAAGGTAAAAGTCTTTAACTTGGATGGGAAAGACTTCCTCCAAGGACCAGTCAGAGAAGAGTTAATGCAGCAGTTGGGACCACTGTCAAAAGAGAGAAACCATTCTGTGCACATTGTTATGAACCTGCCAGCAAAGGCTATCGAGTTTCTGAGTGCCTTCAAATCTCTGTTAGATGGGCCACCTTGTCGCCATGAGCTCCTTCCCATAGTGCACTGTTACAGCTTTTCCAAAGATGCTAATCCTGCTGAGGATGTTCGGCAGCAAGCTGGAGCTGTGCTAGGTGTTCCCCTGGAGGCTTGCAGCTCAGTACACCTAGTAAGAAATGTGGCCCCCAATAAGGAAATGCTGTGCATCACCTTTCAGATTCCTGCTCATATCCTCTACAAGACGCAGGCCACAAATCTAGGTAAGCAAGCTCTGGGAAAGTCAGTGTAAACTATAATTCCTGTGATGTCGCTTTCTTTTTTT